TAATTGTTACAAAAAAAAAAAAAAAAAGATTTCTTTTTATTAGGTTTTGCATATTTCGAAACTTTCGTAAAATTTCAAATTTTTTTTTTTTTTGTTATTCAAAAAATTATTATTATTATTATTATTATTATTATTGTTATTCGGTCATTGTTTTTAAATACCACAGGCTGTTTGTTTTGTTTTGTGAAAAATTTAAAAATAATCGCGATTATTTAATTTATGTCGAAAAAAAAAAAAAAAGTCTGCTAAGTAAATATTTAAACAGTCGTAAAATGTAAAGATTTTTTTTTTTTCGTGTCAATAATCAATCTATTTATAACATTTACGAAACATAACGAGAGAAAAGTTACAATAAATAAATAAATAATATTTTTTATTTTTAAATAATTACTAATATTAATCGAAATTAATTTTTTTTGAATTTGTAAACACGTAATAAATTTTTTGTAAAAACTCAGTCGATAAAAAATTGATAATTAAAAAAAAAACCGTTAAAAAACCGTTTTTTTTTGTTACAAAAAATTTATTATTATTATTATTTAATTGGCCAAAGTAAGAAAATGTGTAACATTGATTGTATTTTATTTAAATGTTATCACGATTTTTAAAAAAAAACCACACAAAACGATCGTTTCGTAATTTATTTTTCTTCTTTGCTTTTAAAAAAAATATTTAAAAAATATTTCAATGCCAATCATTGAACTCGTTTAATTGGTTATGGGGAGAAGGAGGGGGGGGAAGCAGATTTTTTTAAAACGTATTTTTAAATCCCCCCCCTTCCCCCCGGTTCGAAAATGGATGATAATTCGATCGTAGAATATTTCTTTTGCCACGGTTTCTTATCACGTAATTTAATTAACTTGGTTTAAAAAAAAAAACGATTTCGTATATTAATAATTATTTTCAATCGTGTTCCATTATCATGTGTTACGGTTTTTTAAATACGAATATTACCTTAAAAATTCTTTCTACTTTCTGTTAAAAACATTTAAAAAAAACGGAAATAGAATGAATTGATAATAATTTTAAAGATTTATTATCATTATTATTATTAACTGTAAATAAAAGATGTCAAACGATTTAAAAGAAATAGAAAGAAATTTTTTTTTTTTATTAATTAAATGATGTTATTATTTATGAAAGTTTTACAAAGTGAAATCATAATAATTTAAAATCGGTAATTGGTAAAAGGTTTCTAACATCATAGTCACGATTTTCTACTACTACTACTACTACTATTATTATTATTATTATAGGTTTAAATTATTTTATACACTTTAAGTGTAAATAAAAAGTTGTTGTTGTTTGCTTGGGGAGTCGAAATTCGTTTAAAAGGTTTTTTTTTTCTTTTTAAATATGGCCGAAATTGTTTTTGTTTTGAAATAATTTCTATTTTAAGCTTTTATCAGTTTTTTTTTTTTTTTTTTGCATACTGATACTGATAGTGGAAGTTTTATTTTTTTTTAAAAAAAAAATTTGTTTCCTCGATTCTAGATAAATCCACGCTTTTTTTTCTAATAATAATAATAATTTTTTTTTTATCTTAGAAAGGAAAAGAAATAATATATAGAATTTGAGTTGCCTCGCGTATGTAAATATGGGTAGAAAATGATGGCGTTTCGAAAAAAGTAGAAAACAATGGAAAGATTTAAAATTCTAAATCCGAAATATAATTTCGATATCGATATATTAATCACGAATTAAAATTAATCTATAAAAACATAACAAAAGTATTAAGATAAGTAAGAAAACAGAACAAAATCGTTTTGAAATAGATGTTGTAATGTTTTATTATTTATTAAAAAATTTTCCCTTTAATTTTTTATTATTAAGGAAAACGAAAAGGTTGTGTGTGTGTCACCCCCCGAGTAAACGTTGAATTTTAACACGGAGATAAAAAAGGAAAGAGAGATAGAGAGAGAGAGATAGGGAGAAGGGAAAAATGCAAGATTTATGCCACAAATAATTGACATTGTGTCAATCAGTGTTAATAGTTAAAATTCCTTAAATTATTTTAACCTGGCGCCGTGTCTGGTTTTTTAGAATAATTGAGCTCACGGACGACGGACATTTACAATACATATTTTTCTTCCATGATGGTAAAAAAAAAACCTTTTGTTAGAAGAAACATTTTTTAACATTTAAATTCAATTTAAATTTATTAAGAGATTTATTTAACAAAAGAATCCGAGCCTAATTTTTGTCATTAAATTTAAAAAAAAAAAAAAAAGTGACCGTGAGTATGTGTTTAACAGTTGTAAAAAACAAAACAAAAAAAAATTATATAACAACCATCATCTTTACAGTGTTTGTCGTACCGTTTAAATTTTTTTTGTAACCTTTGTGTTATACGAAAACAATGAGAGAAAATTTTTTTTGTTAATATTAATGATAATTTAATTGTAATTATTTCGTGCAAATTTTCAACTAAATAACAATTTTAAATTATTATTATTATTTTTTTTAGTAAATTTGTTTCATTTTGTTGACTATCCTTCACGTAACGTCATTTTTTTTTTTTTTTTTTTTTTTTTGAAAACTTGACATGTCGTTTGTCGTTTTTTTTTTTTTTAAATTAAAACTTTCTTTAATTTCAAAATTTTTTGTTTTTGTTTTTTAGAACGGAAAAATTCATGAGTAATTTAAAATAAAAAAAAAAAAAATGAACAAACTCCACGACTACGTTTTTCTTACGTAAAAAAAAAACGATTTTTTCAGATCATTTAAAATTCTCTTTGCTAACTTTATATTATTCTCATAGATTTAAGTTAATCCTTCTTTAATCCAAGATTTATTTTTTCACAAAAAAAAAGAAATATTTATCTCGAATAACCACGAAAGAAAATATATATATGAGAAAATTGTTTTTAAAAACCATTCCAAAGTGTGGGATATCGGATTAACATGATTTAAACTTGATTAAAAAGGAAAAGACGACGATGGAGTCGTTAACCACCAAAAGGAAAATCATTTTCGAAAGAAAAAATGAGGTTGGGGGGAGGTGGTGGTGATGGTGGGCGAGAGCGCGAACGCCTACCTTATTTAATAAGTATGAAATTTGCATGAAAAAATTTTTTTTTATCTCGCAAAAAAAAAAATGTGTAATGCTTTCATTCGAATGATTATATCTGCTTACATCGCGATCTATATCTTATATAGCCTTGATAAGGAATTTGATACCTTCTTGGAATTTGAAAATCTGATTTTTCATTATTTATATTATTATTATTATTATTAATAAGAATCGCGTAGTATTTTATTCTCTTTTTAAGGATCGGTTTATTAGTAAGTCGATCGATCAGTCAGTCAACCACATAAATTTTTTTTTATCCTGTTATTAAATTAATAATTATTTCTCACGATCGAAGAAAAAAAACAAATGGGGGGGAAAAAAAAAATATATGTATCGATTTTAAAAATTATCATCGCCAATCAGTGTTCGAAAACATTTTGACCTTTTAATTATGAATGACACAAGTAGTAGTAGCAGTAGTAGTAGTGTACTAATATATAAACCGTTAACATCACACACGCTCTTATTAGCAACCTTGTAATTTTTTTATTAAATAAAATTTATTATGAATAAATCACGATTTCGTTTGATTTTGTTGTTTGGAAAAAGAAAGATGGTTTTTATTACTCGCACGATCGTAATAAGATAAAATAATAATTCAATTTATATATATATCGAGTTCATGATAACAACAAACAACAACACTCGTTAGTTTCTCCTACGCATTCAAAAAAAAAAAAAAAAAAAAAATTGTACGCAGTAAGCGGAGTTAAAATAAATATAAAAACAAACAAACAAACATTCCTACGCCTCAGACAAGTGTTTGTTTGTTAATAAGGCTCGAGGAAACTGGAATCAAGGTTCGTAAGATTTAAAAAAAAAATGACTATGACCTTCATAAGAAATTTATTTATAAAATAATAACCGATCGATTTGTAGATATTCTATATAAGGACAAGAAGTAATGATGGTGGTGGTCGTGGTTCGAAGTCTAACGAAACCATGAGTATTATAATAATAATAGTTAGAAAAATATTTTTACAATATCTCAATAAATCACTGTGATGATGATGATGATGGTACTGGTTTATTATATTTACAATTTGAATTACGTTAAAACAACTGCAAACGTAATTAATTAATTTGTTTGTGTTTATTATAAATAAAATTTTTTTTTTTTTTTTATTACAAATTTTCTTATTAAAAAAAAGGAAACAAATAATAAATAAAGAATGAGAATACAAAGTAGTAGTAGTAGTAAATGTTGTTAAAATTTCAAGTTCCCCCCCCTCCCCCGACTCATTGTGAAGTTTTAAAATTGTTTAAAAAGTCTTTTTTACTAGTTTACACTATGTACATAAACTTGCGGTGAATATGAAGGAAAAAAAAGCAATTTAAAAAAAAAAAAAAGAACAAAAGAGGTTTTTTGTTAAAATAAAAACTTTTTTCCTTGGTCAAAAAGTAAAATATAAGAAAAAAATAAAATGAAAAAGGAAAAACGTAGCGAAATAAAAAATATATTAAAAAGAAAAAGAAAAAGTTTTCTTTTTTATTTTCTTTTTTTTGAAACCATAAAAAAATTATCTTGTTTTAAAACAAAAAAAAAAAAAATTGAATGAAAGTAATTACAAATGATTCGATTAAAAATTAAAAAAAAAAAGAAAGAAAGAAAGGAAGGAAAGGAAATTCGATTAATTATTATTATTATTATTATTATTATTATTATTATTATTATTATTATTATTATTATTATTATTATTATTATAATTTTTTGTGGTTTAAAAAGTTGTTAAATTTTTTTAAGTTTTTTTTTTTTTTTTTTTTTAGGTAAGAAAAATAAATGTATTAGAATTATTTATATTCGTACAAGATTCGACGAGGTGACATCTACACAGGGAAATTAAAGCTTAAATTAAAAGAAGAATTTTTTTTTTTTTTTTTAAGAAGCTAAAATTTATTTTTAGCTGCAGTGAACGCGAGTCACTGAATGGGTCATGAAGGATTCTATAAGTTTTTGTTAGTCGCGATGGGGAATGTCGTGTCTGCTCTACTAATGTATGCACTGCAGGCAGCCTGGTTGTGTCAAAGACTCATCGATCAGGATTACAGGTACGTAAGCAACCGAATCGTATAAAAAAAAACCCTACATACTTTATTTTTCACTCGATATTATATGAAAACTTCTTCGTTAGATTTATTACTTTGAATTATTTTCTCTTACTCGTTTTACGAAATTTTTCAAACGACCCATTTCTCCCTCCCCCTTCCCCCAAAGAAAAAGTTTATTATTATTAAAATTAATGAAAGTTAATTAGGAATGAAATTTTATTGATGCATCGTAAAAGTTTTTTTTTTTTTTTTTTTCATTGATTCTTCTCATACGCACTAAATTTATTTGGTGAGAGTTTTTTTTGATTCATTAAAAACGTTTAACGCCCAATTTCATCGATATTATTTAACTCAATGAATACTAAACATTTCAACAAAAAAAAAAAAAAAAGAATGTTCTTTAAAACGTTCATCATTTCGATTTTATTACTGTAAAATTTTTAAAAATATTTTTAAGTAAATTTTAACAAATAAAAATAATTTATTATAATGTCCACTTTTTTTTCTTTAATTTATTTATTTTTATTTTAATTTCTAAAAAAAAAAAAATAATAAAAACAGACGCGCGAAATAATAAATAATGAAAAAATCAACAAGTCTCATCATGCCCCCCAACACTCTCTCTCTCTTTCTCTGTATGTGTGTGTGTGAGAGAAGGAAAAACTAATAATAAAATTTTATAAATCATTTGTTAATGCGGGGGTGCTTCGAAATTTGGTTTTTGGTTTGACGTTATTAACTTTTCGATACATGAGCCTGATTTACCATCATCATCATCATCCTACGATTATAAGGAAAATAATAACCTACGGAACCTACGCAAAACATTTTCAATTTTTTTTTTCAAAGTACACATTTATATAAAAATTTGGCAAATTGAAAATCCTTTAATGTTCTATTGAAACTGACACCTTTCATCAAATAAAAGAAAAAAAGACGTTCGGACGTTCGTATTATTATTATTCTTTGCCAAGTTTACGATTCGAGTCCTTGCTCAAATCAAAATTCATTATACCCATCACACAAAAATAATATTTATATATATTTTGTGTGGTGAAAAAAATGGAGTGACGTAATTATAATAATAATAATAATAACACGTTGTAAATTTACCTGCATTGTTATATTTCTTTTTTTTTTATTGACGCCATATTTTATCGAAACTGTAAAAAACTTTTTTTTTACTTGCGTACTAATATATTTTTTAAAAAAAGGGAAAAAACATTTAATAACTTTTTGACCTAGCACTTTGAGAATATCGTGCAGCAAACACTTTTTTTTTTTTTTAAAATATGGTACAAGTTATTTATTTTTTTTTGCTTTGGTTTATTTTATAATCAATAATGTAAATGATTATACAGTAACAAACCTTTTTAAAAACACGTTCAACTCCTACGCTTGAATTCTTTGAAAGCATAAAAAAAAAGCTAAATGCAAATTTTTTTTTTTTTGTGTTGAATTACAAAAAAAAAAAAAAAGTTAGTCTATATTTTACCTGGGTGAGAGTTGTTAACGCCATCATTTAACCTTTTTAAATAGTTCACTGACATTTGCGACGCGGTTTAACCGAACAATACTTATTTTTAAAGTTAACTTAAAATTTTTTTTTTTTATTCAACAGTCCAACCCCAATTTATGACTTTCGAGTGAGAGAGAGAGGAGAGAGAGAGAACAAAGTGTTTCCTTTCCGTATAAGTTTTTTTTTTTTTTGTAAATTCTTTAAGAAATTTTTTTATTTTCAGACAAAATCATGGTAGCAGACTGACACCCATAGCCGACAACAAAAGATTAAAGACGACAAAATCATTGGACATAATATCGTCGTCGAATCATCCGTCGACGACGGATTTAATTCTATCAAATAAAACGATCAATTATAAATTAAAACCTTCCAGACAAAGCTCAAGAAGTAGGAGAATAGATTCGGAAAAAACGGATTCGTCAAAAAGTTATAAATCCTCGCAAAGAGAAAGTCGAAGGCGTAAAAGGAATTTAATTATGGAAAAACAATTACCAAGTGGTAAAAAATTAAATTTAAGTCATTCGTATTTAATGGATAACGCGGGTGATACGACTACAAATTTCGCCGCGGAATATCTAAGCGGTATGGATCAGGTATTGGGTCTTCGAAGAGCTTTCAGCGACATTAACCTTAGTACCAATTGGTCGGATAACAAAGAAAATTATCGTCATTATTTGTCTTCGGATGAAAATAAAGTTGGAGAAACGTTTGGGATACCAGTGACGGAAAAAGACTTTGTTAATTTGATATTCTCAAAAGGATACGTCACTTAAATTTTGTATTATTATTATTACTATTAGTTTAAATAATTTAATTTAATTTTTTTATATTAATGTAACATAAGACTGAATGAACTTTCTATATATCTTCTTCTTCTTCTTCGTTTTTTTTTTAGATAACCTAGTTTTTTTTTTTTTTAATTGTATTTAAAGCACACTTTTCGAATGAAAGGAAAAAAGGAAAACATTTTTTTTTTTTTTTTACGTTTGTACGTTTTTGCTTGTTAACAAAAAAATTTTTTTTTTCAATGAAATTTTATAAGTAAATGAATCAAACAAACATATCAGGTGTGTCACATCAACATATTACGTAACATATTGTAATGTTTGTTTTAGCGTATCGTCGTGACGTAACAAGGCTTAATATTTAAAAAAAAAATACGTGAATACGTATATATAAGGAGTCGACATCGAAATACCGGGAGAAAATAAACATTATTATTATTATCATCGTTGCATTTTGTTTTTTGATTTAAAAAGTCAACACGCCGGAAATTAACGATTTATAAAGAATACCAATTACTACACTACGGTGTAAATAAATGCAAAAAAAAATTAAAAATTCGCACGCGTTTTTTTTTTTACGCGAGAGAGGAGGAGAGCGAGAGGAGGGGAGGGTTATAATCAAAAAAAAAAAATGTCATTCAAAATTTTAATTTTTAAATCGTCGTATCAATCAATTTTATCAAACGCAAACTCACTCGATGGGAGTAATTTAAAATTTTGCAAAAAAAAAAAAAATTATCATTCACATCGTTAATAAACTTTTTTAATTATTATTATCATTATTATTTTACGCATGACGAAGACCTTATTTTTTTTACGACGAATAAAATACCTACTTAATTATTTAGAGCAAAAAAAAAAAATTGTTAATTAATTATTATTTGAGTGCCTTACAAAGAAAATACAAAAAAAAATTTTAACTTTTTTTTTTATTATTAAAACGAAAAATTATTTATTTATCTTACGCAAGTGCCTCCTGAAAATTATTATTATTATTATTATTTAAATTTAATAAATGTACGAATAAGCTCTCTTATTATTTTTTTTAATTATTACAACGACGACAATCAATAAAAAAAATTTATTAACAAGCAAAACGCGAACGATAACAAAAAAAAAATTATTATATCGAATTGTTATTATTTTTTTATTATTATTATTATTGACTAAAAATCGATTATGCGATTTTAAATGATAAAAGGGGGGAGGGGGGTTGGGGGAAAAGGGAGTAAAACGAAACGATAAATAATATATATATATAAATTTTTTTTTTGTTTGTTTTTTAAATTTGTTCTTTTATTACTCTTCCATTTATCAAAAAAAAAAAAAGAAAAAGTTATTAGAAACGAAAATAAATAATAAAATTTTTAATTATTAAATTATGTACATAAAATTGCAAAAACAGCAAACGAAATTAAAAAAAAAAGGGCTTTATTATTAATTTTTTCCTTTTATATATATTTTTTTTTATTTGTGATTGAATGTATGTTCAGCCATTTTGTTTTTTGTTTTTAAATGGAATGATGATATTCAGGGTGTTAAATAATTTTTATTAGTTAATTAATTTATTGTAATTGTTGATTATTAAAAAATGAATAAAAAGTGCTTTTATATTTTTACATACATACATAAATAAATAAAAAATGTATGCGTACGAATTAAGCAAAAAAAAAAAAAAATTATTTAAATTATTATTCGGCTTAAAAAAAATAAAAACAAAGACAAAAATTTATTTAAAATTTTTTTTATAAAATTCTTTTGACACGTTTTTTTTTTTTTTTTAAATTTAAAATTTATTAAAATAAAAAAGAAAAAATACTAATCGTGTATTTATTCATTTATTTTTAATTATTTCCTTCATTTAAAAAAAAATCCCCTCGAATATTATTAATAATAATAATAATAATGTTTTTGAAACATAAAAAAAAAAAACCAATAATTTCTATGAAATTCGTAGGGAAAAAAGTTAAATAAATAATTTTTGCATTGTTTGAAACGTAAAAAAAATCATTATTATTATTATTATTATTATTAAAGAAAAAAAATTCCTGTGTCAAATTCTAAGGTTTCATCGGATTCAAATTACTCAATAATATTCAGGAAAGGAGGAAGGGGGGGGGAAAGAAAACAATAAGAAGAAGATGAAATACGATTATTAAAAATATTTATCATCATCATTATTATTAATAATTTTTTTTTGGTATTATTATTATTTGAATTTTAATTGACGAGAAATAAAATTTCGTTTTACGCGCTTTTTAATAGAAAGGTTTATTTATGTATGAAAAAATGAAAAAAATAAAATAATAAATTTAGTTTAAGTAAAAACTCGTGACTATAAGAAACAAAATAAAGCTATATTTTATTGGTATAATCAATAAATAAACGTTATCTAAATAAGATTTCTGCTTTTTTTCTTTGCTTTTCTTCTTTTTTTTTTTTATAAAAAAAAAAATAAATTTAAAATAAAAACCGAAAAGTAAAAAAAAAATAAAAAAATAATATTTAAAAAAAAAAAAACACCGTTTCGTTAAAAATTATCTTTTTGAAAATATAAAATTATTATTATTATTATTATTATAAGAAAAATATTTTAAATTTGTATAAAAAAAAACGGTAAAACTTATGTGTAAAAAATTTTTTAAAATATATTTTCCGCGGTATACAATTTAAGTTTTTCTTTTTTTTTTTTTTACATCGACAGACGAAATTGTTTTGTTTGTTTTTTCTTTTTTTTTTTTTTTATAAAAACAACACAACGTTTTTGAATGTTAAAAACAACCAAATTAAAAACAAAAAAAAAAAAGAAAAACACATTAAAAATTCAAATCAGATATATATATATATAAAAAAATAAAATAATAAAATGAATAAAGAGGTTTTAAAAAGTTTTTGACAAAAAAAAAAAAAAAAAAGAAGAAAAGAAAAGATTTTACGCCAAATAAATATTGAAAGATATATTAAAATGTTAAACGACATAAAAAGGGGTTAAATTTATTTAGTTTTAAATAAATAAAAAGAATTTTTTTTCTTTTTTTTTTTTTAAAAAAAAATTACTGCCAAACTCTAAAACGTTTTAACTTTTT